GGCAGGAGGAGCAGTCATAAGGGGATACGAAGAAGGGGCGGGGCGCGGAGAACTCGAGTTAGCCTTTATCAGTTTCGTCATGATTTGTTCCAATCGATCCATCTGGGAAGTCTACATCTGAATCAGATTGTTCATCCACCCAAATTGTTTAGTCGTGGCGGTATGAATCATATGGAGTAGATGCAAGTTAGTGATAGGTATTGACACAGCAGCCGGGGGCATGACGGTATTCACAGGTGTCATCTTGGGAGGAAGGGGAGGGGCAGAAGACAAGAGATGAGGAGAGGGATCCGGGGAGAGTCCGTCCTGATAGTCGTGATCGGGGCGAGGGTAAAATAACCCCACCGCTCGGAGCCACGAACGTCGTTTGGCGGCCACATCCTGTATTGTGTCTGAGATGTCTTCATCCCCCTGACTGATGTATTTACGCGTATCCAATAAGTCTAGCTCAAGGTCTTTAGCGATGATGACAGGTAGCTGGTTCGTTTTTGGAGGAACCTTTTTCTGCAGTTTTGCTTTCAGTACTGTATTATGGAAAATTCGAAAATGATCGATGAACAAGTCTCGAGCAGCATTTTTTTCCCGCCCTGATTTATCTAACGCGGTTTGAAATCGATCCACAAAGTCGGGAAACAATTCTCCTGGTTCCTGTGGACGGGTTTTTAGCACAAACCACGCAGCATCCTCACTGACTTCATCGAACCTTGCTAGAAACGCTCTCTTGAATGTATCCCAATCTACCCATCTATGCCTTCTGAACCAATCATGAGTGGTGTTTCGGAGAAGCAGGGTGATGACACGAGGAAGATCCTTAGCGCCATATCCTTGACCTTGCATGACTTTGAGCCATGCCTCGGGATGGGTATGGTTGGGATAAAACGGGAAGGTGGCGGGGATACTCGCCATCACCTGAGGAGCCGCCCCATTAGCGTCGGCCATGGGCATCTGCTGCATCTCTGGTTGGTTTTTTTCGGACCTTTGTGGAGTGACAGGAGGACTCAGACGATTAGATTTGTTGGCTAATCTTCCTCTCGCCAGCTTGTCTTACTAACATTAGAACCGACACGTGTCGGCTCCTATACCAACCTCACGCCCTGCGATGCTTCCCGGTCGGAGCGTTTTGGCTTGCGGAAGGGCCCCGGGAGGACAGCGAAGATGGGGTGTGCCAAGGATTTTTGGAAAAGTTGAGTGTGGGGACACAGACACAACTGAAATCCCCCAGTGTTGGTCCAATTTTAGTAAGAAAGAGGTTTGTCGTTGTGTGGGTTTAAGGGAGAAAAGGCACGCACGGGACTCGCGACTACGTGAAATTCAATCCAAAAAGTATCGCTGAACTTCCCAGCGAGCCGTCGCTCTTCGTTTCGCATGAAAGGGGGCGGGTACACACGTGGTATCCCGTTTACGGATGAGGTCTCATCGGCGCTCATTACACAACTCTGAATCCGACGTGGAGGGCTTCAAACGAGTAGCCCTCTCCTTATGCTCGTCCTCGCCATGTGTGCGGTAGTGGAAAGTTGGAAACCCTTGGCTCGGTAACGCTCGAAGCGGCAACAATCGTTGCACAGAGTGTTAGGCCAATGAGGCTCTACTACAGTCCACGGAACGACAATCAACTCGTTAAATGGCAACAACAACGAATAGGGCGGAAAGTGCGTATCAACAATAACAAAACCCGCACCGACGAACCCAGAACACCGAGTTTCGGGAGGAAAGGAATAGTGTCCACCGATCTTGGTGATGGCTTCTCGCACGTCCCACTCGCATACACGTGTCCTTTCCCCGTTGTACGGGAAGGGGCGCAACGGGGGCACGGGAAGTCGGCGCCCGGTCGGGTTGGGGCAGTCAGTCCACATGGTAACAAAAGCAAGCACAATTTTTTTTCTTAATGATACATCATTCATTCGACAATCAAAGCAGCCAGATCATCCAGTCGATCAGCCAATCATACTCCCAATCATGTTACAATAAGCTCTCTTATACGACCCACTGCATGCACATATCAAGGTGAGAGAAGCAAAGTTACCACCATTCATCCATTATAGCAAAACATGACAGAAGGAGAAAGTGAGGGAGAATAGGCGCAGATCAGAGGGAGGAACAAGTAGAAAGCAATCACAGAATGTTCGACGATCTTGTCAAGGGAAATTCTGGCTTAAAAGCCGAGTGATCAGAACTCACGCTCGAAGATACAGATTTTGGGACAAAATGAGGCACTTCTGTCATAAAATTCCACCATGGCAGCCACCATCGACCCCCTCACCCCCCCCTCCCATCCCGACGGACTCTCCTCCTCTAACCATACCGTCACCTTCCCCCTTACCAATGGACACTCCGCCCGTTACCCACCCCCAGTCCC